GGTGTTAAGGGTCTCACTACTAGATCAGACTCAGTGATTCTCCTGTCTGCAGCCTCCCAAGTCCTGGGATTACAGTTATGCACCATCATGCCATCTCATTTGCTGTCTCAAAGGCCCCAGGAGTGGGGCCAGCCCTGCAGGCTCAGGGATAGAACCCCAGGCCCTCCAGGCTTGCTTGTAGCTGCTTTAAATCCACTGATCTATTTGGCCAGCCTGTATCAATATTTTTGAGCATCTAAAAATGAAGAAATATCTATGTTGGTCACTCAATCAGTTGTGGTTTCTCTGAATTGTGTTTCTGGTTAGAAAACACTAGTTTCACTTTTAACTTAGGAGATACCACTTTTAATCTTAAAATTTTGGTGTTTAGAGGTCCTCCATTTAAGGGTTAGGAGAATTAAGACTTCTTGATAAGATGGATCCTGAAATATACATTTATATGCAAAATAATGACAATGCATGACATAATATATGTGAAACGTACTTAAGTTATGAATAATTAATTCTTTTGGATTTTTTGTTGTTGTTTTTATTGTTACTTGAAATCAAATTCCTGACCTCACACTTTCCAGACAGTCATTGTGCCACTGAGATAAATCTCCAGCTCAGTTAATCATTAGATCACAGTTCTGAAGATGTTTAGATGAGCCAGCAGTTTCCTGCAAGTTGATGGTTAAAGAAAGTAAATATTTATTTCCAGAGAAGAAAAGCACAGAGTGTGTAAAGGATGAAGCAGGAGACCCTTCAAACATATTCTTGACTCCAGAAGGTTTGGAGTTTGATGGTATTATGAGAGTCCACATAGAGAAGGATTTTATTGCTTTCTGCTCTTCAACACCAGGTAATCAGTGCTTAATTTTACATGAAATTTTGAAGAACAATTCCGTTTCTTTACAGTAACACATCTAATTACCCTTACTCATGAAGACACAATGTACAATAATTAACAAGATGCCCTAGAAGAATTTCCAAAGTGCCCACAATGCTCAGATCCCTTACAGTCCAGTTGCCAAGACATTATGCTTTATGGAAGAGGGTTTTTGAGGATAGGGGGACATAAGGCATACCAAGCACATTGAGGTGTTATGCTAAAGTGAGTTATGAAGTGTACAAAAGAAAACACACCTGAATGAATCTAAATGTCAGCTAAGGAGTAGGAGTGCTACAACTATATCCTAACATTATTATTTAGATATTGGTAAACTAGGTCCAGTAATTTGGCCTTGCTGCCCTTCCTTTGGATTACTCGTTGTATGTAAATATAATATCATTGTTCTGAGCATTAAATAAGATGACTTAAGTGCAACAATAAGCATAGTACAGAGGAAAAGTACATTTAATGAATGCTCTTAATGAGTTTGCATTTTATAAGCATGCAAGACACTTCACACATTAAGGTTCAAACACCAGTCACTGGAATCCTCCCAGCTAGTGAATTTTGCAGTTTTCTAGAGCTTACAGACTCCTAGCTGCCTTGGCCCCTAAGGCGTGTGTTCAGGCCTGTGCTCACACAGTTTGCAGGCTGTCTTCTCTAATGAGGCACTTGCCTCCAGAAGTGTCACAGCTCTGCATTATGTTGACTTTGTCCTGATATACAATGCGTCATGTTCTCTAACAATCAAAAATAATGATACTGTGCATACTTTCCCACCTTCCCTAGCAGTCTTAATAACTTTTAAACCATTTGACCCTGGTCTTCTACCATGCATTCCTCTCTGTCTTCTTAGTAGTCTGCACCTCCCTGACTTCTCAATGTCCATCTTGCTGGTTTCTGCCTCTTTACTTTCCCTTCTAGCTTCCCTCCACATGGCTGTTAGAGATCCCAGCTCAGTTCTCTTCACCTTCACGGTCCCCTGGGCAAGTCCCAACGACATGCTGTTTTCCTGAAGAACTGATCAAGAATTTCTTAAATTCCACTGAAGGCCTTCATAGCTAGCTACCTACACTTTTCCTTAATATTCTTTTTTTGGCTGGCAGCTGTATTTCAACAGGATTTTAATTATTCATGTGTATTTTATTACAATTTAACTGAGTAAAAATTTTGGTTAAATGATGTGTCCATGAATATATACATCAATTCTTAGTGTTTTTCTCTATGTAGTTCCAGCATAAGTTTTAAACATCTACACTATTTCCATGCGTATTATTTCTCTTTAGTAACTCTCTGATCCGTAGCTTCTTTCTTCCTCCAGTTGGAGTTAAACTTCTCTTCTGAAACTTCTGCAATATGTTGGCGTCGTTTTCTTTTTCTTTCTTTCTTTTTTTGCTTTTCATTTGATGTATTTGGTAAGCTTGTAGTGATCCTGCTATTTTCGGTCTCCCCAGTGCTGGAAACGTAGGCGTGCGCCACCACTGCTGCACTGAGTCAGCAGCTCGGCTCACCCTCGGGGTTGGCCAGCACGGCACGCACGACCTGGGGTCAAACCCTAGACCTTGCGCTTGCCGAAGCTGGTGCTCAGTCGCTCAGCTAGCTCACCGGCCCTTGAGCGGCCGCACCAAGCCTCATTGTCATTCTCATTTAGCATTCCAACTTCATGACCTTATGTGTGTCGCATACCTATGCTGCATCACAGCTGCTCCTCAGGCATCTCTTTGCCACAGCAGCGATTGACTCCGCTCCTTATCGTCAGACCACAATTTTTAAAAACCACATTGAATAGCAAACTTGAGATGTTTAATGCAACTACCGCTTCCTATGCCGTCTGCACTTTCCACCCTCGATTTTATTTCCGTCACTCTTACAGAAGACTATGACACTTGCACTGTCTACAGAACTGTCTTGCCTGTACAGAAAATATGCTCACTCATTCAGAATATAGTCATTGAAGAATGGCAGGCAGCATACAGAAAGCAGGAGGTGCTCAATGACAGACAAAAGCTGAAGTGAAAATACTAGAGCTACCTATACATGCTGGCAAACACTGGCCATAAGAACCCAAATGTGCTTTATTTACAGATGACTTTTCTCTGCGACCTCCTGAAAACGGCTCTCTTTTTATTACAAAACTCACTGAAATTATGCAAGAATATGCCTGTTGCTGTGACCTGCAGGAAATTTTCCAAAAGGTGAGGTTCTAAATGTTTCTTCCCCTGTCATGCCGGCCCCACCCCTGGGGAGCACTAAGACGGGGATTTAGACTGGGTGTGGGGGTTCATGCCTGTAATCCCAGCTATTGGGAGGCTGAACACAGGTGGATCACTGTGAGTCTGATCTACATAGTGAGACCTTGTAGACCCTGTAGACCCTTACTAAAAATACAAAAACAAAACAAAATGAAATAAAATAAAAATAAATGTTTCTTCTCTACTTGTTTAGCTCTGGGCTGTTTTCCTGCTGGAATCTTAGGGGGACATTCTGATCATGTTTATCTTCCAATGATGTTATTCTGTCAAAAGGAAGTTTGAGGGGTTTTCAGGAGTAAGCAAACATGTATGTAAGCTTCAATGAGTTCCGGTCCACAACTCATAGGAAATAGTCACTTGCTTCTTCAACTCCTGCTCCGCCATGATATGAGAAATGAGTAGACTCTAATTTGCCTATGTCCAGGATAGCTAAGAGGTCCTGCTACAGAAGTTGAAAATCTGTAAGGTCATTCTATGCTCAGATATGCTGCTTGTGGTGGTTCTGAGAGATGCAGATACCTTTTGTTTACATCACTCAATTTTAATATATATGATAGGTTATTTTTCCAGACAAATTCAAGATTCTCCACTTAGATAACAATGCCCACAATATTTTCTTCTCTTCTAGGTTCAACTTGCACTTGATACGTCAGAGCCTATGGCACAGACACCCGTGAAAGAACGCGTGACTTTGACGAAGCACTTCTATCTCTTCCCAGGACACTAAAGTACCTAAATTGTATCAGTATCTATGGGTAGATTTCTGTATGTGCAGAGAGAGGAAGAAGGAATTGAAGTTAGAGTACTGGAACTCCATGACAGTCTCGTAAAATGAAGGGAGCTATGGAAAAACTGTCTTTTTCTATTTAGTTTAGCATACATTACATTTAAAATGCTGCAGAAGTGGATGGGTATTTCTTAGTGGCAGGTACTGTACATCAAAACATAGTCAAAATATTTAAAAGTACACTTACGAGGATCACATTGGTGAGGCATGTAAGGCCAGCATGGATTCTCCCTTTTTATGTTTGTTCCCATTGATAATGAGATTTACCACTTAAATATGTCTTAGCAGAACTCTTCCTGGTATTTGCATTATTTCCTATTTTGTAGAAAACCATAGGTTCTATTTTTCTGTACAAATGTTTAGCATCATCTCTCTTAGAAATGTCATTTCTCTTGAAAATCTATTAAACCTGAAATAAAGTGAAAAGGTTTATTTTTGTTTGTTTGGTTGGTTTTTGCCACACTGGGAATACAAGAGGTTCAACACAGAGCGGTAATGCATTCGGGTTCTCATGACTCTGATAAGACTGGAGCTCGTAGTGACACTGTTCTTGTGTTTTTAAAATACTGTTTCTGCTTTAGGAAGGCAGAAGGAAAGTAGGTGCATTCACAGAAGCTGCTTGAGTTGAGGGATTCAGAAAAGAAAAGCAGAGATGAAACAACACAGGGCATTACATGATTTAGCCTAGAACCCAGAGCTCACTATTGACAAAGCTGTGGCTACAACCTACGTCTTTCTAAAGTTCATCAAGATGTGTGAGGGAAGCAAAGTGACCTTGGATTCAATGCTAGGCTCCCAGGGGTTTGCAGTCTTACTAAGAAGATAAAAGAGTGGACAAACAGGAAAGAGTGAAACATATAACACTACAAATAAGTACTAGAGTATGATGTCCTTATATAAAACAGGAAAATAAAATTGTGGCTAGTCATCTACTCAGGTGCAAGACCTACAGTTTCACATGGAAGAGTGATCCTTGCTAACCTTAAAGTATTTTAAAGTGAAACAAAATATCTTACCCATTGAACAAAACCTTCAGAATTAAACATTTCACAGTGTTTTTCAGCCCTGTTACAAACCATCCTGGACAGATCAGTTTTGTGTGTTCCTTCCTTCTACTGCAGTGTAGTACTGGCCCTATGAAGAATTATCTAGAAAAAAAAAATCAAATACCTAAAGCAGAACTGCCACCCTCAGTAAAAGGAGACCCTGAGTTCGTCTTAGGAAACTAAAGACAATCATGTTTGGGGAGGGATGAGCAAAGTCTTCCCAGAACTGTCTGCCACAAGAGATTAAGGTGACAGGGAGAAAAGGAGGGCACATGCCACCAACAAAAATTAAACAGAAGCCAGAAGATACTGGACAATGCAGAGCAGATTCATTACATCTGTACTTTTAATGAGTAGACAGAGAAGCCCAAGAGATTAAAAGGAAGGACAAGGAGGAGTTCTGAGAGACTTGCATTTAGTAAAGGAACAAGAGGAAATCATTAGTCAGAGGAGTCAGCCTATAGGATGATGTTTTGTCATTTCTAGTTGTTACATTTTCCTTCCCCAAGAAAGAAATTATAGCTCAGGACCAAGATTCCCGTGTTACAACTGTATGGGATGTCCCAACAGGGAAAGTAGAAGTTCTGAGCATCAGTTTGACAACCTGGGATTAATTGCTCCCACCCCCTGCACTTAGGAAATGACCAGCAAGTTTCATTTGCAGTCTGAGGCTCTCTACCCCTCAGCACAGCAAGAAGAGATGGGCTATTACCATGTCTGGTGAGTTGAGCTTGCTTCCTGAAAAGAACTTTATTCACTCAACTCTGATAGGCAGACATAAGCAAAGGATAGTAAGGCAAGAGTACACAAGCTAATACTTTCTTTTGGTTTCTGTGTGTAATTGGAGCCACAAGGACTCCAGATCTCTTTAAGTGAGATGGGAGTCTTTTTCAGTGTCTAGTCATAAAAGAGATGGGGTTTGTGTGTGTGTGTGTGTGTGTGTGTGTGTGTGTGTGTAAATCCTGAATGTTAAAATACTCTAGATGTTTCTAAATCTCTGAAATCTTCTCTACTTTCTCTGGATTCTAAATTTGTCATTCACAACATAATAAACAAATC